GCGCACATGCCCTATAGCGAAAACCTCTCAAAAAAAAAAAAAAAGAAAGAGTGGATATTGGAGAAAGGGAGCAAATAGGTCTGGGCTGGTTTGGGGGTCAAAGCATCTGAATGTGTATGAGTGTGTGTATATATATATTTTTATATATATATATATATACACGCACACACACATATGTATTGGCAAGGGGAACTTACATCCATGGCCCCAAAAGAGATACTCAAGAATCAGCTCTTTTTCTAGCAATATTAGTCACTTATCTTTTAGTGATTGACATTTTTGACTACCAACAAAACCCCCAAGTTTAACTTGGTCATTAAGTTGTTTTTCTCATGATCACCTTTATCAAGTCAAATAATTCTAAATACAGATAATAAGAAAAGAATTGAATGCCTTGATATTGTAAAATGCAGAGTTCTGGGTACCTTTTCAGGAGCCCATACATATATTGCTGAACAAATGATAGGGCCCTCGTATGTGGTTACTTGGTGAGGTTGGGCGGAGCTACTTCTTGGCTGGCATTGGAGTCACCACTTACATTGTGGGGTGGCCATGATGGTTTTGGAGCTGTCTGTGATGAAGACAAGGTAAATCAGATGGTGATGAGGAAACTGTCAGCAGCTGGTCCTGCGAGGGAAGAGAAGAAAAACTGGTTGTACACTTCTTTACGTAGAGAGAGATGTATCATTACGCCCTGTCTCAGATGCATATTTGAGAGTAAGGATGGGGAGAATATATTTTGAAGCCAGCAAATTCCAAATAAATCTCTCTTCTCTATTATGGCTGGTGTAGTCCTGGTTCTCCAGTCTCAGATGGTATTGGAATATTGTTTTCCATCATATCTAGAATTTTAGAAATTTGAAGAGGATCACCACAGATACCTTCTAGTACTCTGAATCTCAGGGTTTTGAGGAAGGAGGTTAGTGGTAAGTCACCACTTTTCCCAACTTCAAGATGAGCATCTCTAATTAACTGCCTGTCTGACTCCCATCACTCTTTTTTTTTTTTTTTGGAGAGGTTTTCGCTATAGGGTGCGTGCGCTTGCCAGACAGAGAAAGACAGAGAGACAGAAAGTGAGAAATCACCTCCTGGGGGGGATGGCCACGCCACAGTCCCTTCTCCTCCATTCTCCTCTCGGGATCTTGGGCATTCACGCACACGCGCCTGGCATGAGTTTTAAGCCACCGGGTCCGGGGCACGAACCGCGGTCGACTACATGGGAGTGCAGCGACATAGCCATTATGCTAACTGCTGGTCCTACTCCCATCACTCTTTATCCCTCATCAAAAGAGGCATCTTTGTGAAGAAACCTGTACATGGCGCAATGATGTATTTTTCCAATCTGGGGATGGCTGCCTCTGGACTGCTGGTTAGGATACCAGAATTTCCCCCAAGAAGATCATGAGACTCAGTTGTTCACAATGCTACCTGCCTTTAGAATTTCAGTGCCTGATTCAATAGTTATTTCTAAACAAGGAAAAATCACCATCAGTCACCTTTATAAATAGCCCCAGCCCCCCCCC